CTCTACGATGACATTTTTAATAAATTCGAGGAAAATATTTCAGAAGAGTCAAATCTTGATGTCGTACCAAATATTATTTGTCCTCATAATGCATTTGTTCCTTGTGGGAAACTTGTTCAGTGGGAAGCACAAGTACTAAAGGAGCTCGAATTTGATTACAATTCGGATGATTTCATATCAACTGCTGTTTATCCTTATCACAAAGCCTGTAAATTGTGATCGATAGACGAACCCACCAATAATAAGGGAAACGCCCACCACCACATCAACTCCTTTTGACCTTGTACGACTGTATCTCTTCATTAACCAATCACAGTTTAATGTTCATTGTAAAACAATATTGGCTTGTTGACTCATTTTTCCTATTCTCTGGCTACTGTTCGGTATGTTATTTGTCTCTGTTTTTCTCTGTATTATTAGACCGTACTGTTTGTTTGTACACTAACGATGTTAATTTATGTTTGAGAAAAAGATAAAGTTTATATAGCCAAATAGCTTACTTGTTCTGACTTTGGCCGAACCAAGACTCTGTACTCGACAGTCTAGAGATTAGCTTAGAGTTGAATCTGTACGAAATTGCTTCCTACAAAGTTTCGAACAGTACATTCGATATACCTACTGAAATGACTTCCAATAAACACTACGATTCCGATGAGATTCCAGAATTATCACCACATCATTCATGAGTTTATGACGAGGATCAACTTGGAAATAACGAACTCAAAAACAACAGCATGATAGAACTAGAGTTGGCTAGGTTGCGCATAACCCAGTTAGAAAAGGAAATTGAACTAGAAAAATTACGCTGCCGGAGATTTGAAGGTTCCGGCCAATCAGTAAGCAACAGTGAGAATGCAATATTAAAAAATCTGTATTTACCAAAAAGAGAAGTCGTAAGGTTTGATGGTACACCGACAAATTATTGGAATTTCATTAGAAATTTCGAAGAATGCATTGGGAGTGAGAATATTGGATTTAGAGCTAAGCTAAATTACTTGATTCAATATTGTGACGGAGAAGCGAGAGCCGCTATCCTTCATTGTACTATACTAGAACCAGAGATAGGTTACCATCAAGCCCTAAAGCTTTTAGAAGAAACGTTTGGCCAAAAACACGTCGTAGCACGCACGTTTATCGATAACTTGTTAAACTTTCCCAATATAAGGAGAAATCAACCAGATGGTTTGAGAAGACTATCTCGAGAAATGCAAGCATGTAGTTTGACTCTCGAACAGATGAATTACGTTTCTGATTTGAACTCTTCTAGAACTATTGAAACTATGGTTCTGAAATTACCAACGCACATTCAACAAGAGTGGCTAAAGGTAGCTTATAAGATTATCAGAGGAGGCAGAGAGCCTCTGTTTACCGATCTTGTTGAGTTTGTAAAGGAGCAAGCTGATATAGCTAATACTAGATACGGCCTACTCGTCAACCGCGGTAGTAATAGTGACAATAGAGATGTTGGTGTTTTAAAAAGGAAAATTAGTACAGATTACAATGCAGCAAGAATATCTTATGCGAGTGCTAGTGATGATAATGCTCTCTTACGCAGTTCATCTTGTTTGGAGTGCTCCAGTAATCATTCTTTAGATCAATGTCAGAAATTTAAAGACAAGAATGTTAGAGAAAGGAAGGAATTCGTTCTTAGACACAAGTTGTGTAATGTATGCCTGAAGGCAAACCACGTAGCAAAAAACTGTCGATCGCCGAGGTCGTGTGCTGTCGAAGGGTGTGGCTGGAGACACCATACTCTGTTACATGAGTTGCGGGAAGAACCAAGGAATACTAATATTGATGCACACATTAACACCCAGCTATGTACGGAGAAAAGTGTTGAGAGTGTACAGAAACAAGCAGCATTTGCAATAGTGCCTGTACTGGTAAGAAATGGAGAAAAGGTAGCACAGACTTGCGCCTTCTTAGATAGTGGGTCGGATGCCTCTCTTATTACAGAAGATCTAGCTAAAAGGTTGAATTTAGAAGGAGAGCCTAAGACGATTTCGTTGAAAACGTTGGATAACCATTCCACAATTCAGTGTAAAGAGGTTCAACTAGAGGTTTCATCCTTAGACTCGTCTTCGTCATTTAGAATCCCAAACGTATGGACAGTCGAGAGATTACCTATGTTGCGCAGGACGGTACCAACGACGTCTCAAATGAAATCCTGGACGCATTTAAAAGACATAAGTTTTCCTAGAGTAGAGGATGAGAATGTCAAACTGTTGATCGGGTGCAACGCACCGAGTGTACACGAAATGAAAGAGGTAAGAACTGGAAAGCCGAATGAACCATTCGCCGTGAAGACTCCGTTAGGTTGGACGCTGTTCGGTTCCTATGGGGAACCCTGTAAAAGCAATCGTGTACTCAATCACCTCTCAGCTAAAGAGGAATTAGAGGATAAGTTTGAACAATCGTATTCAACTGAATTCAAAGACCTACTTAGTCGTACTTCATCGATGTCTATGGAAGATCGTATAGCATTATCAGAATCTGCATATGGTGTCGCGGAGTATACTCGTCCGAAGATGTCTCTCGTCAAGTTCATTGTTCGTTTTTATTAATTAAGTATAAGGTTGTTAAGCCAAAAACTGAAGCATCATCTGCTAATAAATCCAAATCAACTCTAAGAAAGCTTAAGGAAAAGAAGGACATCAAACTGAAAGTGAAGACTACGAAAAGGCCGAAGACCACTGTAACGAAGAAGCCAGTAACTAAGACCCTGAAGAAGCAGGTAGCACATATTCGCCGTGGTATCGAGGATGGTGTTGAGAAAGACGCCCTTGTACGAGTTGTGAACAAGAGTAAGGGTACATCTGGTAGTTCTGTATGGTCCAAAGCTATTGTCGAACAAGTAAGCTATGGCTTCGACGGACGAGTTCGTACGGCAAAATTGAGAACCTCAAACGAAGAAACTGCTCGGGACGTACGACGCTTATGTTAACTAGAAGCAGCCGGCTGTCTGACGGCGACGACGACCCTGGACAACGGACGTGGTGCGCGTTTCGGGGGGAGTGTAAAATGTGATTGATAGACGAACCCACCAATAATAAGGGAAACGCCCACCACCACATCAACTCCTTTGACCTTGTACGACTGTATCTCTTTATTAACCAATCACAGTTTAATGTTCATTGTAAAACAATTTTGGCTTGTTGACTCATTTTTCCTATTCTCTAGCTACTGTTCGGTATGTTATTTGTCTCTGTTTTTCTCTGTATTAATAGACCGTACTGTTTGTTTGTACGCTAACGATGTTAATTTATGTTTTAGAAACAGATAAAGTTTATATAGCCAAATAGCTTACTTGTTCTGACTTTGGCTAAACCAGGACTCTGTACTCGACAGTCTAGAGATTAGCTTAGAGTTGAATCTGTAGGAAATTGCTTCCTACAAAGCCACTTCTAATGTTTACTCTAGTCAATGTGAGAAATATGTTTTAAATAAAGCCATATCATTCATAACTTGGGGATATAAAGATCCAACATTATTTGGTGGGGGAGGATAGTCTAAAAGTGTGTGGTTCAAATTGTAGGAAGCAGCGGTTTCAGTATACAACCGACATGCTGATTACACAATCCCAGGAAGCAGGTGAGTGTGTTCCGATTTCGGTTGTTAATTCCAATACTAATAAGCAAATTCTAGATAATACAGAGTTTTTATCCACTGCGATATCGGACAGACACAGGATGAACTTAAGAAGACGTATAATCAATTACAGACACTTAAACTCCAATTTAAGCTGTGGTGGATGTGGTGTTTAAATGAACTAATGATTCTTTTGTACTTGTTGAATGCTTGATTTCAAATTCTAAATACGGAACATTCGTTTGTGCTTATCTAGTACTTCTTGATTCTTGGTTTATACTATAATTCAAATACTTCTAATAATTCGAGTTCTCATTTTTCTTTACACTTCTTTATAACCTTCATTTATTCGTAATCATTAAGTGGATATTCTCATGATCAATTTAGCATCATTCAACGATCATTCATCAATTATAATTATAATAAAGAAGAAGAAGCATGGATACTTCTAAATAAAAAACCATTACAATTTGTGAAGTATTAAATACTTTAAAAGTAAAAAATAATGTTCAATGTTACAATGTAATAAGAAAACAAATACCATGGTACCATGTATATATATATATATATATATATATATATATGAGAGGGAGAGTGTGTGTGTGTGTATGTGAGGTAGAAAGTTGAAAATATTGCGTTACATTGAACATTGAATAAAATAAACATTTATTGAACATTGATCATTTATCAAGACTATCCAAATGTATCCATCTGAATGTTTGTTTGTTTGTTTTGAATATGACTTTATAAATAAAAAGTGAAGAGGTAGAAGAATGAATTCAATTATTTATTAGAATTCGTTATATCATACTTTTGATAAATGTTTTCTATTACTCAGTAAGTATTTAAACAATTAGTAGATTGATTTACATAGATATTGAACAATTGAATATGATATGATTTGTACATTATGATAAAAATGTAATGAAAATTATAGCTTTATTGATTCAAAGAAGAAGTATTGTGTAATCATGTAACTCTACTTGGAACCCCTCTAAGGGCTATTGCCAATCCTAAGCCCGAATAAAGGAAGACGTTTGAGCATGGAGTTAACAACCCCATCTCTTAGAAAACTAACTCGCTAAAAAAAAAACTCGCTAACCAAAAAAAAATACATTCATGTAATATTTTGTATAAATGTAAATGTTTCTATTTCATTCATTTGTATTATCTTTAGTTATTACTTTTTTGGTTAGCGTTTATTTTTTAGCGAATGGATAGTAGGATACACATTGAAGAATGTACCTAACTGTGTCACAAGACAAATCCTCACATAGAATCTTCAAGGGGGAGGGGCTGGAGAGGAAGACCAAAGAACACATTACACCAGGAAATGGAAATAGACATGAATAAAATGAACAACAATTAGATGAAACTAGAAAAAAAAACAGAGGCCCATGACAGAGTAGGTTAGAGAATGCTGATCGACAGCCTATACTCCATTAGGAGTAACAGACGTAATTAATTAATCATATAAAGAGTTGTGGTAATAATAATTGACTTAAACCACGTTTAACTCTATGATTATTGTTATGATGATGATGATGATGATTACAAAATAGAGCATGCATTTGTTGTTCTGAATTATAATTTCTAAGTGTTGTTATAGATAAACCTAATAAATTAGCTAATAAATTTGTATTCACTTGATATAATGCTAAAATATCAATTAATTTAATACGTTGTGGATTAGATAAATAACCACAAGTTGGATTACATTGTGGTATTAAATAATCCATTGATGGTATATATTTAAATGTATGATTTTCAAATGGTTTCATATATGTACTATTATGATGAGTACTCATATTTTTACATAAATAGGTACCATGGTTACCATGAATTGAAAATAAACCACATGAATCAATAATATGATATAGAAATGAATTTGAATAATGACCAAATATTGAATTAATATGTTTACGTGGTTTATGATATTGTTTTATTAATTGTGAAACATTTTTTTGATTTAAACGAGTCATTGTAAATGCATATGGATATGATTTTAATAAAGTGTAATCATGATAATGTATTAAATGACGTTTATATCTTTTAGGATATTGATTCAATAAATGTACAAGACGAGATAAGAACATAAGTGTTGAATTCGTTGCCATGGTGGTGGTGGTGGTCGTCGTAGTCCCTGTAGTAACACTTTCTTTATGTTTAGAATCTTGACGATTATTTGTATTGGATTGTTGAGCTTTGCGTAAAATATTTGGATAGTGAATTGAGAAATATAATAATTTTTGTTTACCCAATGTCTAAAATAAAGTAGAAAGAAGTAGAATAGTAAGTCTTTTACTCAATAAAATAAATATCATTATTTAAGTAATACTGATGATTCTTGGGCAGGGGGGGGAATCACGTTAGAAATATGATTTCATTCGTTGAGATCATGAGATCGTTGAAAATAGATCACTAGAGAAAACTTAGAAGTACTGGAGGGTCGTTTCGTCCCATTATCGGACTCTTCAGCGGTGTGCATCCATGATCCTGTCCAGTGCTTCCAGATTTTCCATGATGGTCTAGTTTCAATTGATTCATGATCTCAACCATTGAAATTATTATAATATCCACAAATACCCTTCTTTTGATTAGAAATATGAATTATATAATTCAAAACCCAGTAAATTAAAAGAAGTGATTACTATAAAATTTAATGATGATATTGAAGTAATTATAAGTATAGATGTATGGCGGTTAGTTGTTGGATCTAGGATGCCTCTTTTTTTATTCTGTTTTGGGACTCGTCAGCTGAATGTACTTCCATCTCAAATTTGATAATCACTCCGGGACTAGAGCTCAGTACTTTCCGTTTAAAACACAATTGTGTTAACCACTAAGTTACCGAGTCCAAATAGATAATGATTTGTATAATGGAGTTAATTTTATTTCATATAAGACGTTCAAAATAATCAATATACATGGATATTAAAGTCAGTTATCGAATAAGTTTCAGTTCAGTTGCCAGACTAAGTAACTTGACATCAATTATACTATATCTGAATGTTAGGTAGCTGAGAGAAACTGATAAGTAGCCCTGAGCTTAGGTTTCATGCTAAGTGGCACTCGTATATAACTGTCAATGAAATGATTCCAAATCACTCGAGTTACATACTTACTTACACCTGTTACACCTCGTGGAGGAGCATAGCCTACCCACTAGCACTCTTCATCCAAATCTTTCCAGCTCTTTCCAGTTCTTATTCATCCTTTTCATATCTGATTCTATTTCCCGAAGTATTGTGTTCTTTGGCCCTCCTCTTTTTCGCATCCCTCCAAGTTAGGGCTTGTCTCGTGATGCGTAGACAACTATTTATAAATACTTGTACCTTCTTGATGATGGTTGTGGCAGTTCTCCATGACTCAGCTCCGTAGAGTAGAACTGTCTTGACGTTCGTATTGAAGATTGTAGCTTTGATATTAGTTGACAGTTGTTTTGAGTTTCATATGTTCTTCAATTGTAGGAATACGGCCCTTGCTTTGCCAATCTTCGCCTTTGCGTCTGCATCCGATCATCCTTGATCATCGATGATGCTTCCTCGTTACGTGAAAGATTCAACATTTTCCAGAGTTTCCCCATTAAGTGTGATTGGGTTGGTGTTGTATTTGAGGACCTTGCTTTTTCCTTTATGTATGTTGAGGCCTACTGATGCAGAGACTGCTGCTATACTAGTTGTCTTCATCCGCATTTGTTCGTGCATATGGGATAGGACGGTTGGGTTATATGCGAAGTCCAAATCTTCTAACTGGTTCTGAGCTGTCCATTGTATGCCGTGTTTTCCCTCAGATGTCGAGGTCTTCATAATCCAGTCAAACACCAGAAGAAAGAGGAAGGGAGAGAGTAGACAGCCATGTCCTTACTTGGAATGCATCTGTCAGCTGTCCTCCATGCACGACTTTGCACTGTAGTCCGTTTCTATGAGTTCCGGATAATGCTGACAATCTTCTCACGAATTTCATAGTATCGAAAAAGTTTCCATAATGTTCTCCTATCTACACTGTCAAATGCCTTTTCATAGTCAGTGAAATTGATGTATAGTGATGAGTTCCACTCAACTGATTGTTCAACGACGATCCATTGTGTCACAATTCGATCTGTACACGATCGCAAATCACTCGACCCATTGTGAAAAATCATTAGAACAATACATTAAAGTATCAAACAACTTTCATCACAATAAATATTCAGGGATTTCATAATCTAAAGTTACTTAATAAATGGTATGATATATTTACGAATATAGAATATCAGATGGGTTCGAATTTCGCAGGGGTGAGGTCGTGGATGCGCACTACTGAGAAGTCCCACAATAGAACGAAACGGCCGTCCAGTGCTTCCAGGTTTTCCATGCTGGTCTAGCTTCGACTGACCCATGATCTTAACCATTGGAATATTGAATAATAGATCTAATCTCTAAACCTTTTTATCCATTTCAAATTATACACAATTAGAATAATGATAAAACTAATATAAATTAAAACGTACTTTTCTAATTCATTATCCCATGATTTGATCGCATTCACTAAACTGATTGTTCCAATCATTTTATGCACCCAATTACTGAATTTTTTTATCATTTTAACATTAAAAGAAAGAGATAAGAAGAGATGAATAAAGGTTATTGATATTATTGGGAATTTTACTGTTACCATTATTATTATTATCATCAAAGAAGGTTTTGAGGAGATTTTAGTAATTTATTAGTTGAATTCATGAGTCGATTAAAACTAGACCATCATAATAGAGAGCCTAGAAACGCTGGACGGGAGTTTCGTCTTAGCATTGAACTCCTCAGCAATACGCGTCCAGGATCCGTTCCGCGGGATTTGAACTCAGGACTTTCCGTCTTGAGCGCAAATGCTTAACTTTTAGACCCCTAAACCTTCATGTAACGATGTTAATGTGTAAAACTTCAACCGATTCACGAAATTACACCACAAAACCCTCTTCTGATAGTAAGCATTATGAGCTCACTAGTGACTGGTTTCAAGAAGTATTCACTGGAGTTCCAGTGAAAAGCAGTGACCAGTGAAGTACAACAGGGTCTGTTGTGAGACAATGGACGGTGGAGCAATCTATACTACCTTAAGAAACCAAGGACATTTCACATGTTTACGTAATACGATCACTGGATAGTAATCAATATCACATTGTTTATTTTTTACGATTGATCAAATTCTATTGATAAATTTTTAATGTGATGATTGTATTAAATCACTTGGTATCGTAATGTGTTTTGTTGGATGTTATAAAGATTAGAAGTCGCTACGAAGAAGTTCTATATTAAGTCTACTCTTATCAGTAAGTGGTAAATCTAATAGTGACAAAACTTTTGATAGAGCTTTATTCTCTTAACTGAATGATTTGGTCGTAAAGCTTTCATTGTTATTCTAAACGACATTATCAGCACAAACATCGGATAGAAGTGAAGTGACATAACTAATACTCATCATAAAATGATGCCTAAAGAACAAATGTGTATCAAAGCGATGGACTTTTTATTTTCGTTTGTTCAGATTACTTTGACTGTACGCTTGTGTTTACATCGAAATTAACCAGCACATTGTAGGTTATGGAATCCCTTTTGTCGACTTTTATTGGAAAACTGACTTTAGATTTGTTTTTTTCTTTTACCGATTACATAGTTCAACGTTGTAAATTACTGTTAGATTTTGAGGCTGTAAACTTTCATGTTCCACTACCAGTTAAATAAGAGGGATTTTTTGACATAGATAATGGAATGATAATAGCCGAAATTATTTCTCTTTGATTATTCTTATAACCTAGGGATTGGTAACTAAGTGGTCAAATCACTGGCATTTTCTACAAATGTTCGTAGACATATGCTATGTCATATATTTCTGTCTAATCAACCTGAGAGTGCATTTAATTATCTTGAACAAATCGTCAACCAGATAGTTCTTCTCTTAGTGTTGTTTTACTTGCATTTTCCCATTGTTTTTTAAGACTGAAATTGATCAGTCTCATGTTGGCATATGTGCATCCTGTGAGGATCGCCTTGATATAGCCGTAAGTCATAAGCTTTTTAAGCAAAGATGGATAATGGCCAGCAGTGAAATCCAGGACGCGTGTTTCGTCCTACTTGAGACTTGCCAGTTGAATGTACCTGCATCTCAGAGTTGATGTTTAATTTGGGACTTGAACCTAGTACCGTTCGCTCCAAACACAATCACGTTATCCACTTAGCTACTGAGTGCTGATAGCCACCTGCTTGTGTAATGAGGTGAAGTCAAAATTCACTTGGTGTTATTTTACTTGTATCTTCTCATTGTTATTTAGGGATGCAAGTACATCCAGCTGATGAATCCCAAAGGATTCCACTGTTAGCCACTATCCATTTTTGCTTGGATAGTTCTTCTGTTTCTATTAAATAATAAGAATCCATATATTTAATGGATTCTATTTAATATTGTATGATGGAAAATATGTGTAACAATCATTTGAAAACAAACCCATGATATATTCACTTTTATTACGTTTGTAACAAAGCACTAAGTAAATTAGAGAGTAGTAACCATTCGCTCAATAGTTTGAAAATTTTCATATGGTTAAAACTTGTTTCTTGACTTTAAGGATCCGGTTAAATGTCAAGTTTTATCCCCTTTTGAACTGTAATCTATTGGATTCGATACCAGCTGTCAATGTGAGTCTTTTACTTGGATAGGACATATTATGAGGAAAGAACCTAATTGGGCCACAAGGCAAGCCCTTACTCGAACTCTTTAAGGCCAAAGAGGAAGAGGAAAACGAAAGAATACATTAGGCTAAGAAATGGAGACACACATGAGAAGAATGAACAACAATTTGATAGAACTAGAAAGGAAGACCCATGACAAGGTTGGAGAACGTTAGTCGGCGGCCTAAGCTTCATTGGGAGTAACAGGTGTAAGTAAGTATTTAACTTTTACGATTAGTTCTTTATAGAAAGCATTTGATTCCATGTACTTCTCATACTCTCCTTATCCATCTTTTCTTAAAATTAAATAACCTTTTTACAAATTTCTTCATAACTCTTGACTTTGATTATCTTACATAGAGAGACTATAATCTATGGACGAACCAATCAGATTTACGATAAAAGGTCTTGGATTTTGGCGCGAAATTCATTCATCCATTCATGGCTTTATAGCCGATGTCAGTTCGTGATGAAAACCCAAAATGTAATTTCTAACTCTAACTATCAACTGTAAATATTAATCCTAATTTTTCACACTGATTTATAATACTGGTTGTTAAGTGAACACTCTCGAAGTCAGTCTAGCGTCGCTCAAACGTCGTCTATAAATTATAGTCTCACCATGAACACTAATCACTTGTATAATTCAACATATTGAGTGACATTTGATATAATGAAGGACTTACTTTTTGGTTAAAATCTCATGATCTAAACATGATGGAGCAAATACACCTCTATATAATAAAAACAAAAGGGGTTTTTTAAGTGGATGACCTTCAATGTGAAGGTTAAACAATGAAATATAAAGTCAATACTGGATAGTTATTCATGAAACGGGACATCTATTTGATCCTTTCAATAATAAGTATATTATCAGTATAAGGGTTGTGGAGATTATTAAGTTTTTGATTGAGATCGTGAACCGATTGACATTAGACGAATGCTTAACCAGTAAGTTAAGCATTCACGCTCGAGGCTGAAAGCCCTGGGTTCGAATCCAGCGAGCAGGATTGTGGATGCGCATTGCTGATGAGTCGCACAATAGGACGAAACAGCAGTTCAGTTCTTTCAAGTTTCCAACGGTGGGCTAACATCAATCGGTTCATGATCTCAATCAAAAAAATAATAAATTTATACTAGAAGGGAGAATGTTTCCATTTATTCCAGGTAAAATCAAATAATGATCAGTTATTGATTCTAGAAAATTTACGATATAATCCATTGTGTATTTGATAATCCTGAGTCTAAATTGAAGACTGATGAGATTTTTCCTAAAAATCTCACATATAACTTTTACTTACATTTAATTGGAATGTTTCCTTTTTCTGAAATATGTTTTCGTCCTTTTTCGCCTTGAAATTACATAAAAGCTAAAAAATCAAATTTCAATAAGTTCCCAAATGCTCTGGTACGTCTGAGGAAAGTTAGCTCTCTCTCTCTCGAAATGCTCTCATATGGTCACGTACATGCAACCGCTGAAAGGGAAGTCCTACTCACTGCCTTCTCGCGTCATTACTGTTGTTTACGAAATTGAGACGACGAAAATCAAATGTCAGGTACTGCAACCAGGTTGGTGAAAATGGAGGATCCACCTAGAGTAGTTGGAAAACCCTCATTTTAAATTAATGGTGCACATGGGCTCCAGTATCCTGAGGGAACAAACTTGTTGTTAGTCACCGATTACCGTGGGACTGCATCTACTGAGGTTGCTCCACTGTCATATTGATCAGACCTTTAGGTCGAATTCTCCGGGTATGGTTCACTAAGAAAACCACCTGTTTTGGTTTGGGCACCCGGGCAGTATCCCATCCCTCACATAAATTGAATGATTTATGTGGCGCATATATATTTAGTGCCTCCTTGTACCATTGTTTATGTGTTTAAATAAATAAAAACAGAAATCGCTAAACAGGATTTACATATATAATCATAATTAACTAACCCAGCTGCCTGAAGACTACGTGCTACTTCTTTGCCTAAATTTTGTATATATGCCCATTTTGAATATGTTCCACCGGTAAGTAATGGAACTTTAGACATTTGCATTTGTGCTTCATCGAACAAACTTTGAACAATAAAAACTGGAGCTTAAAACAAATGAAAAAATCAATTTTAAAAAAATGAAAGTATTGATGTTTTATGAAAAATTAGTTCTTCAAGTTAACTGTATCTCAATTAAAAAATTAATAATCTCCACAACCCCTAAACTAGTAATCAACATGTGTTCACTAGTGACTAGATTCGTGAGGGAATTCTCAGAGTTCTAGTGAGAAGCCGTAACCAGTGGAGCTAATCCATGTCGGGTAGAGACAGTTATCTTCCTCAGTACAGTGCAAGATGGTCGCGCAATTTCATAGATTGGTTGATGTTAGACACTAACACCATTGGATGCCGGCTGAGTGGTCCAGTAGGTTAAGCGTTCGCACAAGACTGAATGTTCTGGGTTCGAATCCTGCGGGCGAGTTCGTGGACGCGCACTGTTGAGGAGTCCCACAATAGGACGGAATGGCCGTCCAGTGCCTCCAGGTTTTCAATGGTGGTTTAACATCATCAATTGGTTCATTATCTCAATCAAAAACTTAATAGTCTCAACGACCCCCATACTGGGTTCGAATCTCGCGAGGTGCGGGATGGTGGGTGCGCACTTCTGAGGAGTCCTATACTAGGACGAAACGGCCATCCAGTGCTTTAAGGCTTTCCATGGTGGTCTAGCTTCAACTGACTCATGATCTGAAAACAATAATCCTTTTAAGAATTTTATGAGATAGTAATGACTTTCAATTCAGTTGATATTGTTTACTTGAATCTTCCTATTGATGTTTAAGACTACAATTGATGCAAATGTGCATACTGTGCGTATTACCTCGATATTGCTCTAATTTTATAAGCATTATATGCAAAAATGGATAGTGGTTAGCAGTGAAATCCGGGATGCAGGTACATCCAGCTGATGTGTCCCAAATTGGACGAAATTTTTAAAGCCTGTCCAAGATTCCACTGCTAGTCACTATCCATCTTTATATATAATGCTTAATAATAACTTCCATTTTAAAATAAACATGAAAAGGTTACATATACTTGATAAATCATAAATAATGTAACTAGAAATATGTTACCATGTTGAATAGATGTATGAATTGAGCCATTAAGATTGTTAGCTATAAATCACTGTTAAACTCTTGTATTAATGATCTAAACTAAACATTTACTTGTCTTTTATCTTTCAATAGCTCATTTACATACCTTAGTAAAATAACTGAAATAACTAGTTTCTAAGGTTCTTTTAGTATGTTTCAAACTATAAACACAATTAGCTATTCCTACAAATGGTAAGTATACTTATAAGGGATATAATTCATATATGTCAAAGGATATAATTGAATTTTATATGATCTTAACGTATTTATTGAATCCTATGTATAATATTACTTGAGAGAATGTAATTATGGTTCATAAATAATTAAAATCCTGGAGTCCCGCAATGAACAACAACTCTGAAATACAGGTACATCTCCAGCTGATGAGTCCGAAATTGGACGAAACCAAAATCTTGGATTCCTTTACTAACCACTATTTCATCATTGCTAATTCAAATCCTTTTAATAATAGATTAATATTTCAATAAATCAATAAATGTACTTTTTAAATGTGGATACATAAACGGGGCCAAATAACATTTCCATTTTTCTTCTTTTGGATGAGCTTTACGACATGGTTTCGGTATTCTGGGATTCCAAAATCTTCCATTAAAAACAAATAAATAAATATAACATAAATATTCATATATACATGTGTAAAATGCAAAATCTTACAAAAACAATCCAAATAGATGACGTTATGAAAGAACAAGGTTTTTCATACAGTGATGAATACTTTTCTTAGCTGAATGTATTATAAGTATGAGATTGAGGAGATTATTAAGTTTTTGATTGCTCACTATTGACTAACTTCGTAAGGGAATTCTCGGAGTTCTAGTAAGAAGACGTGACTAGTAGAACTGATCCATGTCAGGTAGAGACAGGTATTTACCTCAGTACAATGGAAGATGTTTGAGCAATTTCATAGATTGTTTAAAGTTAGGTATTAACAGCGTTGTATGCTGGCCAGTTCAGTGGTTTAGAGGTTAGATGTTCGTGCACAAGACCGAAGGTCCTAGGTTTGAGTCCTGCGTTCATGATCGTGGATGTGCACTGTTGAAGAGTCCCACAATCGGACGGAACAGCCTTCCAATGCTTCCAGATTTTCAATGATGGTCTAACATCAATCAATTCATGATCTCAATCAACTATTTATTCAGCTGTAACTAAATATGAGGTTAAAAATGTACTTTGGTAAAGTGATAACTTATAAATCATCCATTTCTTATGACTGTATTGTTCTATTCTAAAAAAAAATCACCAAATTAATAACTTCACCGTTGTCACATCAAGTAGAAAATTACTCACTATGATAATGTTCTGTTCAATAAATAAAATAATTGGGTTCATTAGAATCTAAATCGATTAAATTAAGGATATATCAATTTGATTAGCCCACGATGTGGGTGTGGGTTCGAATCCCACCAGCGACACATACTTTGCCGACAAATGCTCTGGTACAACTGAGGATAAGGAGACTTAGCTTTTCCTCTCGAAATCCTCTCATATGGTCACGTACATGCAACCACTACAAGGGAAGTCCTGCTCACTGACTTCTCGCGGCATTACTGTTGTTTACGAAATTGAGAGAACAAAAATCGAATGTCAGGCACTATAACCGGGTTGGTGAATATGGAGGATTCATCTAGAGTAGTTGGAAACCCTCATGCACATGGGCTCCAGTATCCTGAGGGAACAAATGGCGTATAAACTTGTTGTTAGTCATAGGCTATTATGAGACTGCATCTCCTGAGGTTGCTCTACTGTCTTGTGGATCACACCTTTATGTCAAAGGCTCGGGGTGTAGCCTTATAAGAAAACAAATTGCTTCGGTTTGGGCACCCGAGCAGTATCCCAACCCTCGCATACATCGAATGATTTATGTGGCGCATATCTATTTGGTGCCTCATTGTACCAATGTTTACATGTTTAAATAAATAATAATCATTACTTACTTCATTCCTCGATGAATACCTTCTTCTGGTGGACATTCAAATGCATTAACACATTTACTTTCTTGATAAGCAGGAATGTGAATAAACCATGATGAATCTATTATTCCACTAACTAATACAGGATATCCAATACGATTAAATAATTTTCTACTTAATCTATCAATATTCATAAGTACACCAATTCCTCCAGCACTAGAAAAAATAAAGTATATTTTTTTTTAGATGGATCAAAAGTAAAACAGATCTGATCCTATATGACATTTACCTGTTAGTAGGTATGAAAAATGTGATATTTGTATTGTGGAAGAGTAGAGTGAAAGATATTTAGATGTTTATTAGTGGTATGAGATACGAACAGGATTCGATGTGTGAATATTTGAATAAGTAATTTGCTAGGTTTGAAGTTATCACGAGTTCAATTGATCTGCGAACGAGAACAAGACTCGGTGACCAAAAATCAATAAACTAGCTATTCGATGCATCCCAGCCCCTCTAACTAGATGGAAAAGTCCAAGCTTGGAATGGGAAGTATATTCTGCAAAACAGCCAGAAACGGGTGATAACAATAAACACAATTCAAAACGTATATATACAGTACAAAACCGTCCTTAGGGAGAGTTACCAAATAGCATACTAAAAGACACAACGGACCAATAGCATTTAAGATATTTCCCAGTGGGAATTACGATATGAAGGTAACAAGAGCGCCCTTGGCGCGAAAGCAAATTCAAATTTTCTAAATAAAATTGCGAAATGAGGTCCTTTCTCAAGTGAGTTCTGGGGGATCTAACGTTCCCAACACTTCCTATTGTTATTTAGGACTGAAATTGATCAGTACCTCTTATCGTCATATGTGCATCCTATGCGGACTGCCTCGATATTACCTTAATTCATAAGTATTATAAGCAAAGATGGATAGTGGTACAAGTGAGTGACTATTAGTAGATAATGCAATAGTGTTTGAAACGAGCGATACTATATTCAAGTCCCAGAGTGAACATTAACTCTGGGATGCAGGTACATCCAGCTGACGAGTCCCAAGTTGGACGAAACATACGTCCTGAATCCCAATGCTAACCATTGTCCATCTTTGCTTATTATGATTTCGATCGCATTAAAAATATTCTTCATTGTTTCCGTTTCTACTATTTTAACTTGTGTTAATTTTATTTGGGTTATTTACTTACTCTGAATAAGTGACGTACATAATGCCATAAAATGTCAAAAAGACAATTTTCTGTTCATTGGAATGTCACATAACTATATTTATTATTAAATCTTAAGTGTCCAGTTCTACAAGCATATTAGAATAGTGAATAGATGGATTTATATTCTACTCGATCTTCAGAGATTTCAGTCGACAGACAATATTATTCAACTTCATATAGTAGACGTTGTTAACCATTTACTCTATGAAACTTGATTGTATTATTAATGATTAATTATTTCACAAGGGATTTTGTGGAGATTGTAGTAATTCCAATATTTGAGATCATGAGTCAGTGAAGTTCAACCGAGTCTGTTATGAGATAGTAACTCATTGAAGACAATGGTGAATGTGTCGCTCAATTTCATGGGTTGGTTAAAGTTAAAAATTAACACCGTTGTATGTCGACCGGCTCAGTGGTCTGAAGGTTAAACGTTTGCGAGTGAGACTGATAGGTCCTGAGTTGAAATCTCGCGAGGCGTGATCGTTGGTGCACACTTCTGAGAAGTTCCACACTACGACAGAATGGCCGTCTAGTGCTTCCATGTTTTCCATGGTGGTCTGGCTTCAAGTGACTCATGATCTCAGCTAGTTAAATTAATCATTTCTTATTAATAATACTGAGTTAGTTATGTTATAGAACATAACCGACATGCTTTGAAACCATTTTCCTACTGAAAATTTGTCATTTTTAATGATGATTTTGTGTTGTGTTTCCAAAGTTAAAAAATTCTTTTTCCAGAATTATTTAATGGTTGAATTCATGAGTCGATTTAAGCTAGACTACCCTGTAAAACCTAGAAGCACTGGACGGTCGTTTCATCCTAGTTAGTCAGTTATCCACTGGAAACAATGGCGGACGGTGGCACAATATCGTGGATTGGTTGAAATTAGGCATTAACACCTTTGGATTCAGGCTCAGGGGTCCAGAGGTTAAGCGTTTGCTCACGAAACCAAAAATCCCAGGTTGAAGCTCCGCGTGTAGGATCGTTGATGCGCACTGCTGAGGAGTCTCATACTAAGGTGAAACGGCCATCTAGTACTTCCAGATTTTCCATGGTGGTCTAGCTTAAATCGATTCATGAATTCAACGAATAAATTACTACAAATTCCACAAACCCTCATTTTGATTTCATAAAAATATATCTGGACTATAAGTATAAAATATAATTTATAATAAACAGCTAAAATAAATCAGTTAATTTCTTACCTAGAACCAGCAAATATAACTTTCTCTGTATAAGCTGCATTTTGCCATGGTATATTATCAATAACAGCTGCCAGTATACGTGATCCATGAAAGTAGAAATCTGTTCAGTACGATATAAGAATATAAGGAGAACATGACAAACTTATCAAATAAACACATAATTAGTGTTAAATGAAGTAAACAAGAATTAGTGAAATTTAACTGTTGAATTCATGAGTCAATCTAGGCTAGACCACCCTGGAGAACCTTTAGGCACTGGACGAACGTTTCGTTCTAGTATGGGACTCCTCAGCAGTGCGCGTCCACGATATCACCTCGCGAGACCCAAACCCACAACCTATCAGTCTCGCGCGCGAACGTTTAACTTACTGGACCTTTGCGCCAGCAACCAATCCCGCGAGCGGGATCGTAGATGCGCACTGTTGAGGGGTCTCATAATAGGACGAAACAGCTGTCCAGTGCTTCCAGGTTTCCAATGGTGGTCGGTTCATGATCTCATTCTAGAAGGAATATGTTTAGTATGGAAGAGTTATTAAGAGAGTTGTGGTAGGCTCATCTGTTTTAAGTAAACATTGTAGTAAATTACGACTATTTCATTTTCATTTTAGTAAACATTCAGTTATATCACATTTGATTATATACTTTCAGTTTGGTTTAAATAAGACATTTGGGTGATTAGCATACAAAAAAAGAGAAAGATAATTAACTTTTATTCAATCGACGTTGTTTATTTCAATCTTCCCATTGTTATTTAGGACTGCAATTGATCAGTCTCTTGGTGGCATATTTGCATCTTGTGCAGAATGCCTCTATATTGCCTGAAGTCACAAGCTTTATAATTAACGAATGCTTTAAAGGTGTGGTGCGTGCTACTTATGTTGATATAAGTAGTATATAACGCGAGTTAAAGAACGTAATGTCTGGTAGCAGGAGATGGGAGAAGATCAAGAAAGGAAGAGCTGGAACACAATGCAATTTGTAAGAAAACACATAAACAATGAAATGTGAGACAATGGATTGATGTTTGCAACGGCAACAGTCCGGTTTGATATGATGAAATGATATTTTGCAAATTAACGATGTCCTATTTGATTTTTCTATTTTACCAAGTAACTTCAGTTGTCCCCACACATGTTCTGTTCACTACAGTATAACCTTTGAACATAAGAATCATTGAAGAAACCCCATAAACTTTGAGCCCAATGATGAGCTTCAAGAGATTTTTAAACATCTTAAGACTGGAAATAACAAAAGTAATGTTCAGTTATGTAATACAGTAAGTAGGTTTTGTAATAACCCATCTAATCATTGTTAATGGTTTTTATTACAGACTGACATAAGTCCAGATACCACTGAAGATCATGAAAGATCACAATGAATGTCAGTTACTCATTCGTACTAGTCTCTTTATTAGTATACTATTAGTTTTTGAATGCTATTACTAACAATGTAGATAATTTGTAATATCATAGCAGTTGTTTAAATCCCTAGATCCTTGTCAACAACAAAATTATTGTTTTTTTAGACACAAATAAGAGAATATAAAAACCAAATCTCCTACCTCCACTACGATTAGCCATTTTCCCAGTCCATAAATCACTTGAACAATATGGAATGAAACTAAACAACAACAAAAAATGAAAGAAAAATAAAAGTATTATTCACATTTTTTTTATATTCGAAATTGGAGAATGATGGTCAGCGTCCTATGCTCCATCGGGAGTAACAGGCATAAGTATGCTTGAATGCTATTACGAGTTCACCTTACTCGGTAAACGAAACGAAAGTGAAAGATACAGTGGCACGATAGGCTATTCTAATCCGTTGTCCCCGGCCCTGCTAACTAGATCAAGAAATCTTGATGAGGCGTAGAGAACGTATTCTACAAGCACTCAGAAAATACGAGGTCACTAAGCATATAAATCAAGCTTATTTATACAATAATATGAATCACCCTTGAGAGAAACACAAAATAGCGTACTAAAAAAAAATCCATCAACCAATGACAGTCAAGGATTCCTAAGTGGGAAATGTAGGCTTTCGGTCAACTAAGCGTCTCTTGGCGGGAAATCATGAAAGTAAGTAATTAAGTAAGTATATTCAAAATTAAAACAATGTGAATAAAGGAGATGAATCATTAATTTGATTTCAACTTACACACTATGAAAATCATGATAAATTGGATTTGCATTTGAATCAGATGAAAGTATTCCACCAACTGAAATGTAAATTATCCGACAGAAAAAAAAACAGACATTTAGATGATTCTTATCATAATAATGATAATAATAGTTGCATCCAATTTATATACATACATTGAAGTAGTTTTAACGATGATAAGTTGATCAGTATGGGGTCGTGGAAATTATTACTATTATGTTTTTGGTTTGAGATTATGAACTGATTGATGTTAGACCACTGTTGAAAAATTGAAAGCACTTGAAGATTTCGTGGATTAGTTGAGGTTAGACATTAACACCGTTGGACGCCGGTCAGCTTAGTGGTCTAGAGGTTAAGTGTGAGCACGCGAGTCCAAAAGTCCTGGGTTCGAATCCCGCGAGTGGGATTGTGGATGTGCTCTGCTAAGGAGTCTCATACTAGAACGAAAAGTTCGTCCAGTGCTTCCAGGTTTTCAATGGTAATCTAACATTAATCGGTTCATAATATCAGTCAAAAAGAAGATAAGTTTAAGTTGTACATAGACTATATCATCAGTTGAGAAATCTTTGAAAATTATTCATTGCAAGCAAGATTATTGTCCTATAATATATTGACAAAAACTGTGATGGATTGTTGAAGGTCATTAGTGAGATGTCCTGATGAAGCTATGAATATGCCCTACTATAAAGTATAACAGTATAATGATAAGATTATTCAATACCCCTTGATTTGGAATCATTCATTAAATAGTATTATTAAGTAATATAAACTAAGTACCGTTGAATTACAGTCATAATGTAATACGTAAAAGAATATAACCAATAGATTGAGTGAGATAAAAAGAATACAGATCCATCATCCTAATTAGTTTTCGAATATTTTAACAAAAATATACCAGTATCTGCCAAGTTACTTGTATATGTCGTGATCTAGATATTCGAAGGATTAAAGTTGAGACTATAATTTATGGACGACATTTGAGTGACCCTGAAAAGATCTTGGGGATGTTCACCTACATACAACGGCTAAATGAAGATTATAAAGCAGTGTGAAGAATAAGGATTATGATTTACAGTTGATGGTGATAAGTCTTGCGAATTGAACGCTATATTTGTTTCCTAAGCTATTCTGTAACCCCCAATCTAGAACAATACAACGACCTGAACACAAGAGAGAAGACACAAAGTATGCGAGAAATACTTTACTCCAAAGTTCATTTTTGTACAGAAAACATGGGTATTTATAGATGTTAACATGTTGTTAAATCAACATCATATTTTAGCCAATCCGCTAAAAGACATATTATGCTACTGACCAGTAGTAGCACGCCACATTGACATTTTAAAAAGCTCCATCATGCTCTGATTGACTAGGACTCTTCGGCTCTTCTAGGGACTCTGGAGGCTCGGTTGCAGTTCTCGAAAAGCCGACTCAACAGATGGTAAGGGTTAGGATTTAGATTTATGCTGTTCATTACAAACTGATATCAGCTAAAATGCCAAAACGTTATTTAGACATATAAATAAATGAATTTCGCGACTAAATCCAAGACCTATCATCTTAAATCTGATTGATTCGTTCATAAATTAAAGTCTCATCGGTTAGAGTTAAATCTCTACATCCACGATGGCATAATTATCGATTTTGCGTTGTTCTAATAACCTATTTCGTAATACTTTTTTTGAAGACTTCTTTATTCTTTGCTTCTCTTCCGAGATTTACTTAGTAAACTTTTTAAATGAATATAACATATAATCATAACATTAATTCTTCATTTTCGAAACTTCCATCTGTATATACTTCTTACAGTTACTGTGCAGTGAACAGAACACGGGTTGGGCCAATCGAATGTATTTAACACAAAACTACAGGACTTGTTAATGAAATCTAACAATCATAAAGTAAATGCTCAGTTTGCAAAATGTCCATCGATTGTCACAAAATGACTCAGACTTCATCGTTCTTGCATTCTCATACAAATTGCATCCTGTTTCCATTCGTTACTGTTCGATTCCCTTTTCTCTATGCTGCCAGACCTTCTGTTCACAACTAACATCATCTACTACTTATGTCAATATAAGTAGCACACACCACAACTGTTGTAGTGTGTACTACTAATATCAATAGATATAAGTAGTATATATCATTCATCGAAAGTGAAATGCCTAGCGCGGTAAAAGATTAAAAAGATCGAAAAAGAAAAAAAACACAACGAGAACAAGAGGATAATTGATGTGGATTTGAAAGATCAATGAAATCTGAGACAATTAATTGACATTTTACAAATGAAGTTTTTTTTCCTATATGATTCTTAGATTTTACTAAGATGTTCTGTCCAAAGGTGGTCTAACATCAATCAGTTTATGATCTCAGTCAAAAATTTAATAATCTCCACAACCCCTATACTAGTAATTAACATGTGCTCACTAGTGACTAGCTTCCTGAGGGAATTCTCGGAGTTCTAGTGAGAAGCCTTAACCAGTGGAGCTAATCCATGTCGGGTAGAGACAGTTATCTACTTCAGTACAATGGAAGATGGTCGCTCAATTTCATGGATTGGTTGATGTTAGACGCTAACGCCATTGGATGCCGGCTGAGTGGTCCAGTAGGTTGGGCGTTCGCGCGCAAGCCTGAAGGTCCTGGGTTTGAATCTCATGTGTGGGATCATGGATGCGCACTGCTGAGGAGTCGCACAATAAGATGAAACGGCTTTCCAATGCTTCCAGGTTTCCAACGGTAGTCTAACATCAATCAATTCATGATCTCAATCAAATACATTTGGTTGTCCCCATTTGTGTTCTTGTTCACTACTTTGTTTTTTTCATTGATCTATATGAACAATATTGAATTCAATATTAGAAAATACATTACTGATAGTAATATATACATATACTTGTTATATGTTTTAAGTTATAAGCAAGCTGAAAGTGAATTCATCAAAACATTAATCTACTTCCTATAATTACAAACTTCAAAACTTACATGAACGAGTTTTTGGCCAAAATTTTGATGAGAATAATGAAAATGCATTAGATTCACGTAAAATACATGTTTCTTCATCAAAACAATACCAACCACCTAGAAACATAATGAAATTAGATATTATTATATTTTTTAGCAGGATATAGATTGGATTAAATCATGCTCAATTCACGCTTGAGTTGGCCCACTCTGATTGGATAAGAATTAGCCAATCGGAGTTAGCCAATATTTAGTGAACACTATAAATATACTAACGTTTTCCCTATTGTACTTCTTACTTCCATCTAATCTTGTTGTTTGGAATATAATCTGTTTTCCAGTACAACCGTATTCTGATTTGGGGGACTTGTCGAGTGAATCGGTGTCCGAGAATACTAAGCAGTAGGAATAGCTGGGTTGTAATAAATGAGAGAATTATAACAATATTATAAAAACTAAAATAGTTTTACTTACCTTCAAGAAATATTAACCATCTACTTACTGTTGTATATTTTGCTGGACGATAATAATAACTGAAATATAAGAAAAATAAAAGAACTGATATTCATTTTAATGAAATAAATAAGATTTTTAAAGATGATCTAACTGAGATCATGAGTCAATTGACGATATATCATCATGGAAAACCTGGAAGAAATGAACGGTCGTTTTGTCCTAGTGTGGAACTCTTTAGCAATGTACATCCATAATCTCGACTCTCAACGGATTCCAACCAGGACTTATTGGTTTCAAGAGCTATTTCCTGGATTTCTAGTGAAAAGCAACGACTAGTAGAGTTCAATCGGATCTGTCGTGAGATAGTAAGTCAATGAAGACAATGGTGGACGTCCTGCTGAATTTTGTAGATTTGTTGAAGTTATACATTAACATCGTTGGGTCTCGGCCTGCTCAGTGATCTAGAGTTTAAGCGGTCGCGCGCGAGACTGATAGATCCTGGGTTGGAGTCTCGTGAGGCGGGGCCGTGGATGCGCACTGCTGTGGAGTCCCATAATTGGACGAAACGGCCGTGGAGTGCTTCCATGTTTTCCATGGTGGTCTATCTTCAATCGACTGATGATCTCAACTATTAAAATTTGCGTGTTTGATTGAGAATCTGTCTGATATTGATAAACATTGACCAAATCTAAACTCCGAGGCAAGCCCTTATTTGGAATCGTGAAGGGAAACGGATTTGGGGAAGGCTAAAGAACACAATAATTTGTGAATTGGAATCAAACATGAAAAGGATGAATAGCAACTGGAAAGAAATGGAAAGGATTGTCCAGGATTGGGTTGGATGGAGAATGATGGTGGGTGGTCTATGCTCCTCGACGTAGAGTAACAGGCGTAAGTAAGTAAGTAAGTACTTAGATATTATAGTATACTGTACAGCATGTTCAGTTATTTGAATGTTTCTTCATCTCTAAACCCAAGCAATCAACAGTTGACAATAAATGTTATTTGGAACGTTGAGAACTAGTTACTGTGATATGAAGTATCCGAACTTCTTCCAGACAATCTACTGTCATTCATTTCTATAACTAAACTGTTATAAAATGTTTTAAATCGGTTTTCATAGTTTAAAGAACGATCTGATTATTGGGTCAACCGTATAAAATGAGTAATATTTTAAGTCATATAGAGTTACTTTTATTATTCTAGCCTTCTATGTAATCATATTATAACATATGTATATCAATACATTATACGAATTACTAGCAGTTATACATTGACGAACAAGGTGGATCTGATGCTGATGTGAAAGCGCGAATCGGTAAAGCAATAGCAGCATATTTACAATTGGAGAACATATGGAACTCAAAACAACTGCCAACCAACACCAAGGTCAGGATTTTCAATACAAATGTCAACACAGTTCTACTGTATGGGGCGGAAACCTGGAGAACCACGAAAGCCATCATCTAGAAGATACAGGTGTTTATTAACAGTTGTCTACGCAAAATACTTCGGATCCGTTGGCCGGACACTATTAGCAAAAACCAACTGTGGGAAAGAACAAACCAGATCCCAGCAGAGGAAGACATCAGGAAGAAGCGCTGGAAGTGAATAAGACACACATTGAGGAAAGCACCCAACTGCGTCACAAGACAAGCCCTCACATGGAATCCTCAAGGCCAAAGGAAAAGAGGAAGACCAAAGAACACATTATGTACACTTCTTATCCCATTCTTAACATGTCTATAACTTATTTTTGTATGACTACAAACATGGATTAACACTTGATTAAATCGAGTTGATCCATACGCCTTCTTCACTGAATGTCATTTCGTTTCACTCCTTTCTCTCCTATTCACTCCCATCGCTCCATCTCCCCGTTTGTTTGTCTAAATCAATGAGTGTACAAAATATACATATCCTAAACTTTATTCTCGTATCTGACTTATTTAATTGCGTTATTCAATAATGAGATTTAAGTAGATAATTTTATACGAGGATTGACTATGTGTCATCTTCGATAACAATCATTTACATTTCACTTGTTGAAATCATGAGTCAATTGAAGCTAGACCACCATGGAAAACCTGGAAACACTGGACGGACGTTTCACCCTAGTATGGGACTCATCAGCAGTGCGCATCCACGATCCCGCACTCCGCGGGATTCGAACCCAGGACCTATCACTCACGCGACAGGCGCTTAACCGACTAGACCACTGGGCCGGCATCCAACGGTGTTAATATCAGCAGTGCGCACCCACCATTCCGCGACTTGAGATTCCAACCCAGGACCTATCTATCTCACACGTGAACACTTAACCTTTAGATCACTGAACCGGCCGAGATCCAACAGTGTTAATATCTAACTTCACAATGAATCAACAAAGAATATTCTTTTTTGATAACACAAAATAACCGTTTTCATTGAAGTAAACAAGAACTTTACTGATTCAATCTATTTTTTATGATGATGAATTTTTTGATAATTCTACATTATGACATTAGCTTTCATCATAGACATAAAACTAGAAAGTATTCAACAGTGAATTCATTGAAAAAGAACATTTAAATCGTTTACATTCTGTTTATCATGTTGTAAAGATATCATATTGACTATGACATATAAAGGTATTGAGTCTAATTATGTATGAAATTATTGATGCTCATTGTTAAGTAATCCTGCAATTAGGTCTTACATCTTCCTTGTAATTCAGATTACGTATGTTCTCAATGAAAACTAACAAAATTTTGATTTTATAAGATTAACTTAACCCTGTAAAATATATGTTTCTTTATAATTCATATCTGATCAAAATTGTGAGTAATCTGATAGCTTTATCCTTCAAATACCCTGGTACGGCCGAGAGTAAGGAGAAACCATGCTCCCTCTCGAAATGCTCTCACATGGCCACGTGTATATAGCCTCTGCCAGTGAAGTCTTACTCACTACCTTCTCGTGGTGGGGGTGTTGTTTACAAAATTGAGAGGACAAAAAGCGAATGCCCGGCGCTTCAACCGGGTTAGTGGACATGGAGAATCCACCTAGGAGAGTTGGAAAACCCTCATTCCAAACCAATGGTGCACATGGGCTCCAGTATCCTGAAGGAATAAATGGCGTATGAACTAATCATTGATCATAGTAGTATACCACGTTGATATTCCAGAAAGTTCTCTCAGGATCTGACTAGATGGAAACTCTCCGGCTCCTTTAAGACCTCTGGAGGCTAGTTCGTGTTTCGTGAAAGCTGGCCTAACAGTTACATATTACATTTTTGGTAACTAAATGACTAGTTTAGTTGAAACTAAATTTCTAAATTCTTCAGTAAATTCCATGTATATTATCACTCTTATCTTATGAACTTAATACACAGTTAAAAGCTAGAAACTCAAACACTGAATAACTATATTAATCTAAAGCATAATATCATTTCAGAATTCCACTTCTTATTTATTCAAAGTAATTGATGATGGATGATGTTGTTCGTAACATTTAGTGGTTAAGTACTGGATATTAGTCGGTAATTTCCGCCGAATATTTCATTTTCAGACTCTGGAAATATCAATAAATGTCTGATATAAACACGTCAGTGCAATACAACTCAACATACCGGTTGATTAATACTTACTTACTTACTAAATCCGCCTACAGCCCTTCTGGGGTTACTGTCGGTCCCAAGCTCGGATAAAGGAGAAGGGTTGGGCATGGGGTTACCGACCACAACCTGTAAAAAACTAACTCGCTAAAAAAAGCTAACCAGAAAAAAATAATTCGAACCATTTAAACTCTTCCCTGGGAGTTAGAAGGTCTTCATTTAGAAGAATTATGACTCCTCATGGTGAAAGCCGAGTTCCTTCCCGAGTCACGAGGCCGATGCCCCTTCTGACAACCAGAGCAATCATTTATTTAGGTACATGGAGTTCTCGTACAATGTGGGAGACCGGAAGAGTTATCCGAACCGGTGCAGAAATGAAAAGATACAACATAGAGGTGCTTGAAATCGGTGAAACACATGGGATTCAGGTTGGACAACAAACACCAGCTACATGGGAGCTGATACTATACTCCGCCCATGAAGAAGAAAATACTCCACATACACAAGTAGTTACACTGATGGATGAATAATACATAGATAATAAATGTCAAGGTTTAAAATGACAAGATCGTTACTGTAAATTACACCTTGATAAATATTATTAATCAACTTAATAAACAAGAAAACTATTTAAGTTATTGAATGAAACTTACATAAGAAACATTGAAAATATTGAAATAACCCCAATCGGATAATTCTAAACATTTAAAGATAAGATGTGTCACTCAATTTCGTGCATTAGTTGAAGTTAGACATTAACACCGTTGGATTTCGGTCGGTTCAGTGATCTAATAGTTAAGCGCTTGAGCGCGAGACTTATTGATCCTAGGTTCAAGTCTCTCAAGGTGGGATCGTGGATACGCAAAGCTAAAGAGTCCCATAATAGGACGAAATAGCCGTCCAGTGCTTTCAGGATTTCTATGGTGGTCTATCTTCAATTGACTGATCATCTCAACTATTCAAATTACTATAATATTCACAAAAACTCCTGATATTAATCAACATATGCTCACTAATGACTGGCCTCAAGAGTTATTTCCTGAAGTTCTAGTGAGCAGCCCTGATCAGTGGAGTTGAACCGGTTCTGTTGTGAGTTAGTAGGTCATTTCAGACAATAGTGGATGGTGACGTAATTTCGTGGATTAGTTGATGTTAGACATTAACATCGTTGGATCTCGGCCTGTTCAGTGATCTAATAGTTAAGCGCTCACGCGCTAGACTGATAGGTTCTGGGTTCAAATCTCGTGAGGTGGAATCGTGGGTACGCACTCCTGAAGAGTCCAACAGTTGGGAAAGATGTTCGTCCAGTGCTCTGAAGCTTTCTATGGTAGTCTAGCTTCAACTGACTCATGATTTTGACTATTGAAATTACTATAATATTGACAAAACCCCTTCTGATATAAGATAAAAAGTAAAATCTCAAAAAAAATAAACAAACATACCCCGCTGATGAACCATCATTACATTTAGCTCCATTATTATTTAAAAGATATAATTGATGGGATTGATATTGTAATCTTATATTATTCCATTCATTATGTTTATGATCATTATTGAATCGATCCAATTGATGTTCGATTGGTTTCTTAAGTGGTTCCCATGGTTCAATCATATTCCAACTATCATTATTATGATTATTATTATTATTCTTATTATTATTATTAGTATTCTGTTCCGTTGTATAGATAAATGATTTATAATATGATGGTTTAGCTTTCACATTATCTAACCATGTTATAATAATAATAATGATTATGATAATATAATAAAGTGTTGTATATTGTCGTAATGAAAATGGTATTTCTATGGATATTGAATTATGGATATGAATGAGTTGTTGTTTTGAATACGTTTCAGATAATAAAGGATGTTTATTTGATATTGGTAAATAATCTATAAGATTTAAACAAAAGAAAGATTACAAAAATAAACAATAAATCAAATTAGATATATATATATATATTGATAGTTGAGATGATGAGTTAATTGAAGATCGACCACCATTGAAAGCCTCAAAGCACTGGATGGATGTTTTATTCAACTATGGGACTCCTTAGGAGTGCGCACCCACGATTCCACCTCACGAGATTTGAACCCAGAACCTATCAGTCTAGCGCGTGAGCGCTTAACTATTAGATCACTGAACAGGCCGAGATCCAACGATGTTAATGTCTAACATCAACTAATCCACGAAATTACGTCACCATCCACTATTGTCTGAAATGACCTACTAACTCACAACAGAACCGGTTCAACTCCACTGATCAGGGCTGCTCACTAGAACTTCAGGAAATAACTCTTGAGGCCAGTCATTAGTGAGCATATGTTGATTAATATCAGAAGGAGTTTTTGTGAATATTATAGTAATTTGAATAGTTGAGATGATCAGTCAATTGAAGATAGACCAGTACGAAAAATTTAGAACTATTATACAGTCGTTTTGTTCTATTGTGGAACTCTTAAACAGTACGCTTCTACAACCTCACCTCATGAGATTTGAACCGTAGGCACTCGCATATCAGAGGAGTTACTAATACATAAAGAACATGTTTTTATTATGGGAATTAAGTTCATTTACATTGTGGTGTAATTTGTGTTATATTTGAAGTTGAAACAAAATGGCTCAGAGCGTTCTACTTAATTTTTGTCTGTGTTGACATTTGAAATCTTAAAGAAATCGGTGTACCTTATGAATTTCGAAACAGATATACACAATTTCTAGTATAGGGGTTGTGGAGATTATTAAGTTTTTGATTGAGATCACGAACCGATTGGTGTTAGACCACCGTTGGAAACCTGGAAGCACTAGACGGCCGTTTCGTCCTATTGTGGGAGTCCTCAGCAGTGTGCATACACGATCCCGCTTGCGGGATTCGAACCCAGGACTTTCGGTCTCGCTCGCGAACGCTTAACCTACTGGGCCATTCAGCCGGTATCTAATGGTGATAGTGTCTAACATCAACCAATCCACAAAATTGCGCGACCATCTTCCATTGTACTGAAGTAGATCCCTGTCTTTACCCGACATGGATTAGCTCCACTGGTTACGGCTTCTCACTAGAACTTCGAGAATTCACTGTCATGAAATTCAGCTGTGAATCAATAATGTTAAAATTAAGCTCCTGAAAGACTATGATTGATTTCTATTGGTGAAAAATCATTACTAATAATGATCAAAATGATTACAAATGGTAATCAAATTCATTCGAGTATCAGCTCATTTGAGAAACCTGAGGGTCATGCTTTAGATCTTCAATTGTGTCATGTATGCAAACTAGTGAAGAGGCTCATATTAGAATGAAACATATATCTAGTACACTCTGGTTTGCGATGGTTGTTTAATTAGGGTTCGTATGTAATACACACTATAAAATTACACATCTTATTTATACAGTATGACGATTTGATATTGAAAGTTTTAACATTCACCGCTTCTAATGAAACACTATGTGACGGTTTTGAATTGGACTTTGTTTAGAACTTAAAAGTCTCATGAAAAGTATACGTTGAATCTCTAGCTATCTATAATTATTAGAGTGAAACATTGTTAGTAGATTTAATGAAAGGAATTATTTGATGTAAACAAAATAATGTATATCTTTATTTCTTGATATTTTGTATAATACTGAGTTTATATTACTTTCAAATGATTGAGTAGTATATTTCAATACAGACAATAAGCCTTAATTGTAAGCATGAGGATTTGTGGACATTGTAGTATTTTCACTGTTGATGAGTCCTGAATAGGACGAAACGTGCACATTGGATTCCACTGTTAACCACCACCCATCTTTTCTTATAATAAGTTTGACTTAAGGCAATCCTCACAGAGAGTACTTATGCCAATAAGAGACGGATCAATTGCAGTCCTAAACATCGATGGGAAAATTCAAAGAAAAATGATCTAAAACAGTAAACAAAATATCACAGTATTTCCAAATTTGTATTATAAACCATTTGACCATTGCAATTAACCAAAGGAAGGTGTTAAAAAGCTTCTTTTTGCAAGTTTCCTAATATTCATCAATCGGTTTCAAGTTTGGGTCATACAATAAGATGAATCAACTACTGTAATTAACAAACTGTAAGTGATTCCTTACAAATGGCTTATAAGTTAACCTATTACACAAGAAAAGTAATGGCGATTCATATTCCCCACTTTTTTCAAAGTCATGTAAACATATATATTCAAAAATAAATGAATTCAAAGGTATCAATTTTCTCTTATACGTATTTATTCACTATTTTGCTTTATAACTATCAATACAAAGGTTGGAGTTGATCGTTTAAAGTAAGCTGAGCATTGGATAAAATGTTATTCACAAACATATTTTTATCAGAAGGGAGGTTTATGGAGATTTTAGTAATTTAATAATTGAATTCATGAGTCAACTGAAGCTAGATCACTATGGAAAACCTGGAAGTACTGGACGGCTGGTTCGTTCTGGTATCGGACGCCTCAGCAGTACTCATTCAGGTCTGTTATAAGATAGTAACTCATTGAAGACAATGGTGGACGATGGCACAATTTTGTGGATTGTTTGAAGTTGTACATTAACACCGTCGGATCCCGGCTCAATAATCTAGAGGTTAGGCGTTCACTGGCGAAACCGAAGGTGCTGGGTTCAAATCCCGTTCGTGGAATTCAATAGTACAGAAGTATATGTGTTAATATACTTCGGTTACGTATTAAATCTGAAGAAGTGACTTACATGTAGTTGCGGAACGTAAGAAATGCAGATTTTTCTACGTATCAGAATATATTTAACAGTTGAATTCATGAGTGAAATAAATCTAGTCCACCATGAAAAACCTCGAAGTACTGGATGGCTATTTTATCCTAGTATGAGACTTCTCAGCAGTGAGCATCCACTATCCCGCTCACAGGATCCGAACTCAGAATCTTCGGTCTCATGTGCGAACGCCTAGTATCTGGAGCAATACGCCGGCATCAGATGGGGTTAATGTTTAACTTCAATCAATCCATGAAATTGTACCACTACCCACCATTGTCTTCAATGAGTTAATATCTCATAACAGACCTGGATACGCACTGCTGTGGCATCCGATACTAGGATGAAACGACCGTTTAGTGCTTCCAGGTTCTCTACTATAATCTCTAAAACACCCCCCCCTTTCTGATAATAATGCTTATTATTTATTATTACAATATTATTACTAATAATTCCAATTAATTAATTCGTTAATTCATTCATTAAATGTTTAGATTTTTCTCTTTTTTTTGTTGAAAAAAACAAACAAACAAACGAAAGAAAAATTTGTGTTCATCTAACTCACATGGATACACAAACACTAAAGTTTATTTCAAAGGTCAAGTTTTAAAAAAAAAATCCCTTTTATGTACCTGTACGGACATGTAAACCCACATATATGCACACACACAGATGCACACATATACACACATACACGCACGCACATTCACACATACACATACACATACGCAAATACACATACATCAAACCATTCATCCATTAAAGATATTTTTTTCTCATGAACAAAAACGTTTAATTAACTTAGATCAAAGAAAGTAATTTAAAAGGTATACAATTTACAATTTTTTTACTATTAAAAGATGAATAAAAGAAAATTTAATTGATGATAAACAAAATGGTATCCATGTTAAGAAATGGTGGTGGGGGAAACGAAGTAGTGAAGGGAAACAAAACAACAACAAAAAAAAAGAGATTAAATCAATAATCTGTTTTTGTAACTTTTGTTTTTTTCTTTTCAAATAAATTGTAAATAGACCACTGAACCGGCCAGCATCCAACGGTGTTAATGATGCCTAACTTCAACCAATCTACGAAGTTGCGCTACCGTACACCATTGTCTTTAGTGAGTTGATATCTCATAACAGACCCGGTTGAACTTCTTACTAGAACTCCAGGAGTATCTCTTGAAGTCAGTCACTAGTGAACAGATGATTATTATCAACAGGAGTTTGTGGAAATTTTAGAAAGTTCACTGATTGAAATCATGAGTCAATTGAAGCTAGGCCACAATGGAGAAAATGGAAGCACTGGTCGGCTGTTTCGTCCTAGTATGGGACGTCCAGTGCTTCCAGGTTTTCCATGGTGGTCTAGCTTCAATCGACTCATGATATCAACCAGTGAAATTTCTAAAATCTCCACAAAACCCCTTCTGAAAATTGTAAATAGTCTCAATCACAAGAATTTTGTAATATATATATCAAGAATTAGTAGCTAAGTGGATAATGTGATGACGTTTGAAGTGGACGGTACTGGGTTCGAGTCCTATAGTGAATATCAACTTTGAGATGGAGGTATATCCAGTTGACGAGTCCCAAATAGGACGAACTACATGTCAAATTGGATTCTACTACTAGCCACTATTTATCTTTGTTTGTAAAATTTATGACTTAAATCAGTATCGAAGCAGTCCACATAGGATGTACATATGCTAACAGGAGACTGATCAATTGAAGTCGTAACACAACAATTAAACAATATAAGTAAACAACACCATGTGAGTTTACAAATAAGTTTCGAAGATTTTTGGTGCCCTATATCTGATACCAATTGAATTTTTTCTGCTTATTATCAAATAATTGCTGTGTGAAATATACATCCTGATTAGTTTCGTATAGAATTATCGACTTAAATCGTGTTAATGAATAATGAGATTCAATAAGTCAAATAAGAGAATGAAAGTTTGTACACTCATTGATCTGAATAGACAATCAGGATGACGAAGCGAAAGAAGTGAAGAAAAGAGAGCGAACCGAAATGACACGCACTGGAGAAAGCGTGTGAGCCAACTCGATTTAGCCAAACATGAATCGATATTTATAGTTACACAAAAAATAAGTTACAGACATGTTATGAATAGGATAAGAAGTGTACACACACACACACACACACACTTGCATAAAAATAGTTAAAGTTGATAAGCGAATAATTAACAAGGTCAAAATATAACTCAAGAAGTATGAATAAATTGGCCTGTCTGGAGTTTAGAATAAGCTAATTAGGTTTAACATAACAATCGACACTACAAAAAACAAACAGTAGTAAACACATAATTATTGTTGAATGATGTCTATACAGATCATCTCCATTTTGACGATAGTATACGTTGGTATATTGTCAAAGTAGCAGTTACACTGTTCACATTTCAATGTGAACACTAACACAAGGATACAAATATATTTAATTGATTATTTCAATTAAACGCAAAATGTTCATTCTGCATAATATCTGCTAGTTGCTACTCTCAAATAATGATATGAAAATATGTAGACGGGGGTTCTTAGTTAGGTGTAATTTGAATTAAATGATCTATTCAAAATTCTCAGTCATTGATTTTCAAACTGTATACTAAATTATAAGCAAAGATGGATAGTAGCTAGCAGTGGAATCGAGGACGCTCATTTTGTCCTGTTTGGGACTCGTGGATAACGCTATGGCGTTTGAACCAAACGGTACTGAGTTCGAGTCCCAGAGTGAACATCAACTCATGCAGGTATATCCAGCTGGCGAGTCCCAAACAGGACGAAACGCGCGTCCTGGATTCCACTGTTAGCCACTATCCATCTTTGTTTATAATGTTTGTAAATTAAAGCAATATCGAGGCAAAAACAGTATGCACATATGCCAATAAGAGACTGATCGATTTCAGTCCTAAAACATCAATGGGAAGATTCAAGTAAAACAATACCAAGTGAATGTATACTGAATGTTTGTGAAATGATGATTGTTACCATCATCAAGGATATAATTTGAGACTGTTCTTCTTCTTATTATTATTATTATTACGTAATCATGTTCAATTCTTTACACTACAATCAAGTGACATTAATTAAGGTGTAAGTTTATGAGTTGGTTGAAAGAAAATATATATTTAATCACCTTTTAAAACTTTGAATTAACACATTAAAATAGTTTAAACTGATTCTATCCATACAATCTAAGGTGGCATGTTTGAATATCTGAAACTACCTGTTCCTGCCATCTAGATATTTCAATAAGTTATCTGTTTTGTTGATTGTTTGTTTGTTTTGTCACATCATTATGCTTATTAGTCTCATAAACTATTCAGGTGCGTTTGTTAAAAGTTTATGACATTCGTCGCACAACTATTGCGGGACTCCTCAGCACTGTGCATCCACGACCCCACTCGCGGAATTCGAACCCAGGGCCTTCAATTTCACCGTGACCAGTGGAGCTAATCCGTGTAGGGTAGGGACAAGTATCTACCTCAGTACAATGGAAGATGGTCGCGCGATTTTATGGATTGGTTGAGGTTAGACATTAACACCATTGGATGGTGATTCAGTGGTCTAGATGTTAAATGTTCACGCACAAGACAGAACGTACTAGGTTTGAATCCAGTGCATATGTTCGTAGATGCGCACTCAGTCAGTCAGTCAGTACGTACGTACATCAGTTCGAGTTGCCATACCATATTAGCACAGAGATGCAGTTGTCGATTCAAATCCCATTGTGGTAGAGGTAGTAAAATATAAGCCCTAATCAGAAACATTAGGGTTTGAAGATGTTATTCAAGGAGTATAGTACAGTGAAATGAATTTGTAAAGAAAATAAGGGCCATGAAGAATTCAGAAGATTAGAATTTGGGAGAACACAAAGAGTGGATGCACTTGCGTAATTTCAAATGATTTCGAGCCATATCATTCAAGGTCTCTAACCATCGGTTGCTATCATCTTGCGGTCTCTAACCAGGTAGTCTACACCTACCAACATGGCTCAGTCCACTTGTCAGTAACTTCATGGACTTGTGCCATGTTTTGATCTGGCCGCCTCTAGCTTTCTTTCAACCTACTCCTATATCTCGAGGCAGTCGGTAGTTGGGCATACGCACTGTTGAGGAATCGTACAATAGAACAAAACGGACACCCTAGTACTTCCAGGTTTTTAATGATGATATAACATCAATCGATTCATAATCTCAATCAATTAATAAATATATATGGAGTTTCTTTCAAGTTTACTGATAAATCTTAAGATTAAATAAAACAGAAATAAAATGAACACTAAACACATTAGCATAAATCGACATTTTCCATTTTTCAATTTATTATAATATATCATTCAAAAAATATCAGTTTAGATTGACTACTGCTGTTACCACAATTGTACCGTAACCCTACACTCGTATAGTCTTGCACATATATACAAACAAACACACACACACACACACGTACAAGCCTGGATACCTGCACAAATAAACTTAATAACATTTTATGATTTTATTTTAAAATCAATGGGGTTTCTACTGTTACAACAACAACACAAAAAAAAAAACACAACAAAAAAAACAAAAACAAAATATCTATAATTTAAACACCGACCAGTTGTAAACCGCTATTTTCTTTTGATGTTCAATTAAAACACATTAATGTACAGATTATTTTTCCCTAAGAATTCATGTTATGTAAATAGGTCAAGAGACATGTGCATGATTACTGTATTCTGTTACAATTTGACCAAGTAAATCATTAGATTCAAGTGTATCTATCTGTGAGTATGTGTGTGGGTGTGGGGGTGTGTGTGGGTGTGGATGTGGGGGAGTGTTCAATGTATATTATGTAGGTATTGTTGTTATGATCATTGTGTTTGTTATGATTGTTCACTTTTGAAAATGATGATTACATTGTCTCATTTTGTTGTCTCATTGTTATTTGTCTAATGTTATATATATATAACAATGTAAACATGTGGTTATTGAATTCAATATAGTTTTTCAATGGAAGAAGAAATTATTATTATTATGATGATGATTTGTACATATTTAAATAAGTAAAAAAGATAAAAAGAGAAACGCAACTGTATTTCAAACATCAATGTTATAATTAAATTGTCGGAGAAAGAAAAAAAAAGCGCGAATATAAAAACATTCTATTCAAGGTAAACAAACACATACACACATATACATAAATAAAAGCGATTTAACTTTATGAATGTGATTACAATTCATGAAGCAACTATATTATTCTTGCTACCACTACTACTATTAATATCATCATAAGTAGTATTTGCAGTATTAGTATTAGTATTAGTAGTAGTAGTAGTATTGGTAGTAGTGTTAGTATTAGTAGTAGTAGTAGTAATAGTAGTAGTAGTTGTAGTGGTAGTAGTAGTAGTTGTAGTAGTATTGGTAGTAGTAGTATTGGTAGTAGTAGTATTGGTAGTAGTAGCATTGGTAGTAGTAGTAGTAGTAGTAGTAGTAGTAGTAGTAGTATTGGTAGTAGTGTTAGTATTAGTAGTAGTAGTAATAGTAGTAGTAGTTGTAGTGGTAGTAGTAGTAGTTGTAGTAGTATTGGTAGTAGTAGCATTGGTAGTAGTAGTAGTAGTAGTAGTAGTAGTAGTAGTAGTAGTAGTAGTAGTAGTAGTAGTAGTAGTAGTAGTAGTAGTAGTAGTAGTAGTAGTAGTAGTAGTAGTAGTAGTAGTAGTAGTAGTAGTAGTAGTAGTAGTAGTAGTAATAGTAGTAATACTAGTAGTGGTAGTAGTAGTAGTAGTCGTAGTAGTGGTAGTAGTAGTAGTAGTCGTAGTAGTAGTAGTAGTAGTAGTAGTCGTAGTAGTAGTAGTAGTAGTAGTAGTAGTCGTAGTAGTAGTAGTAGTAGTAGTAGTAGTCGTAGTAGTAGTAGTAGTAGTAGTAGTAGTAGTAGTAGTAGTAGTAGTAGTAGTAGTAGTAGTAACAATATCAAAGTTATTTATCATTCGTTCTAATTAATTTTTATTTCTATCTTGAAAACTAATTAAACTATACATGGTAACAAGTGTTTATTGACATTCTTTAAAAAAAAAGAGTATTATGAATCTCTTTATTATTTTGTTTTGTACATAGAGACTGAATGGTTCTAAAAAAGGCAAACAGTTATATACAGAGAGGGAGAGAGAGGGGGGGAATAAACCTGAAGGGGGTCATATATCTATCCACTTGAATAGCTCCATAACTCTTTAACACAAAGTTAATCTTGTTAAATGTTCGAATTAAAGAGTCCGATGACTATACTCTGAAGACAAGTAATTATTATATCCTAATGAGAATAATGAATGGTAATTGTTGGGATCTATTTATGGAATAATATTATACGTATATTTTTAAAATGTATAATTGTTAAGTAACTAAACTATTCATATTCATGTCCCTCTTATTGTGAGCCTTATATTTGACCTATGAACTATAATTATACGATTTACCATCCTCGAGTTATGCCCAGTTGATCAATTACAACCTCCTATATTCACAGCCACATTTGGTCAAATCTTGTATAAATGTTGTTTCATATTTTATGGTACGGTGTGGTCTGTCTGGTTGGTATATAAACCCAGTATGTTTGAAATAAATGATTCATATCACGGAGGCTGAGATTGGTGTTCTGGACCGTAACAGGTAGGGCTAGGCTGGAAGTAGGACCAATAAAGACTCTAGACTTCTCGTACAGGTTGATACTTCATTAGTCCAGCCGATAAATTACTGTTCTCTAATTGGCGGTATCATTACATTATACATTAATAGGATACAGGATACAAGTTATAACAGTATTGAAGAAGAAGAAGTAGATAAAACAAGTTATACTTTGGTAATTTGATAAAACCAACAAAAAGAATCTATGCAAAGATGAATAGTAGCTAGCCGAATGAAACGCGCGTACTGTATTCCACTGCTAGCCACTATATCCATCTTTGCTTAGAATGTTTTTGAATTAACGCAATGCACATTGAGTTGGTCAGATACGACAATTTATTCTTAACATCATTGGTGAACAATGATCGGTTGCGAAGAACGTTCTTTTTAAAGAATTAGAAATTCTCCTCATTAGGATGTATATGACTCTGTCACTCTTAAAGTTGATGTTCATGTATAATGTTTCCTTTTCGACTAAAGTTATTTGTGTTTTCAACAGTTTCGGTTTCATGTTCTTATCAATGAACATTGAAGGATACCCATTTTTGATAAGTATCTCCTTCTTAGCATTACCGAAGCAATAGCCATACATCTGAGAAGACCAGAATTGTATGTTCAAAAGAGATTGGTATAACCTCTTATTCTACCATGGACTACTATGTCTAATAATATTTTTTCGTACTCTTCTTCTTTTATAACCATCTACTTCCCCTTCCATCTTCTCCTTTAATCTTCTACCTCTAAGTAATTTATTTCTATCAGATGAGTTTTTTTTGGATATTATATTAAGTTCAATGGTTAAGATCATGAGTCAGTTGAAGCTAGACCACCATGGGAAACCTGGAAGCATTGGACGAAACGGCCGTCCAGTGCTTCCAGGTTTCTCATGGTAGCCTAGCTTCAACTAACTCATGATCTTAATTTATTTCTGTTTCTACGATCCTTTTGATTAAAATTAAGGCAATATCGAGGCAATACATACAGTATACACATATACCAATAACAGACTAATCATTTGTAGTCCTAAACATCAATGAGAAGATTTAAGTAAACAATATCAAATGAATTCAACAAAGAATCTGATTTAAAAAAGAAATACAGACTGACATGATCGACAGATCCATTACAATAACTATTGAAACCACTGTATTACACATAACACTCTCAAGTCAACTTATGTTAACTCAATGTATAAGAGATAAAATCTCAGTAATGTCAGTAATCTATGTCATATTTATCCGATTAAATGTTCTTTTAGAGCTAGTAACATGATCTATACTCGGATGACTTTATCTAAACAATTTTGCAAAAGTACACAAGTATCATTAAGAAAAGACATCACTATCTCTATAAAATGAGCTAGTTAATTGATAATGAACATAATATTAAGATCAAAGATAGTTTTCAGCCTGTATATCGAGTCAAGAGTAATATCTTAAAAAGGGTTAGATTATGTATCTTTTATATAAGTAAATGCAGTTTACATCAGTCTAAAGAAAGTTAACCTATACATAAACAAATGATATATTCAACCTGTTTGTTAATCTTGTTTCTCAATAAGGTTCTCAATCCCTATTCTTATTCTGAATTGTACACTTACAGATGAAAAATAAGGGTTGAACTAAACATGGTGTTCTTAATTAATGATTGCTGACATCATAATAGTAAACACGACCTAACAGTTTCTTGTGTTAAAGTCATAGATGAGCACTCACATCCTGGATCCCACTGTTAACCACTATTCATATTTACTTATAAAGCTTGTAAATTCAGGCATTATCGAGGCAGTCCACATAGGATGCACATATGTCAATAAGAGACTCATCAATTGCAGTTCTAAACAACTATGGGAAGGTACAAACAAACAGAACCAAGTGAATTTACAGATAAGTTTGGAAGATTTTTGGTGCCGTATCAATGAATAGAAGCTAGTAGTGGAATCTAAGACGTATCTTTCGTCTCATCATTGTTTCGACTCATCAGTTTGGATAAACCTTCATCTTAAAGTTGATATTCACTCCGGGACTCGAACCCAAATACTGTTCACTTCACCAAATAACCTGTAGAAGAGATATCTTTGTCAAAATAACATTGTTTCCCTTTGTATTTTCAATAGTATTTATATGTTTTAATAAAGATTTTCAATCGTTAAAATGTACTAATCACTATAAGCAAATGATATTATTTCAAAAATTTACTTAGTAGATCACCTAGTAATGACAAAACTCATATCTGTTTATTCCTTTTAAAATAGATCCATTTCAATCAAATATGAACTAATGAGATCATTAGTCTAATGACAACTAGTGACAATCACCAAATGCCTTACTTAATCTAGATTTTAGACTAGTTTCTACTTTTCGGTAAGGTATATCTATAACATTGAAGGAATAATCACTATCTAAAACATTTGAACTAGTGGTGGGATAAAAAAAAAGTGTTATAGTCAGAAACTTTTCCTGATTTTGAAATGATTATGAGCTAAAATAATCGTCAACTATCATGTTTCTTTTAGTGATTCTAACTATTTTTTCATATGTATTATCATATACTTTCAGAAAAGGGGTTTTGTGGAGATTGTGATAATTTATCAGTTGAATTTATGAGTTGATTAAAGCTAAAGTACCATGGAAAACCTGGAAGCACTGGGAAGTTGTAACACATTGAAGACAATAGTGGACGGTCGCGCAACTTCGTGGATGAGTTGAAGTTGAACGTTAACACCACTGGATGCTGGTCCAGTGTTCTAGAGGTTAAGCATTCGCACACGATACCGAAGATCCTGAGTTTAAATCCGGGTTCGAGATCGTAGATGTGCATCGCTAAAAAGTCCCATACTAGGATGAAATGGCCATCTCATAGTGATCGAGCTTTAGTCTACTCATAAATTCAACATAGAAACTTCTTGAAAATTCTTCCTTAGTGGAGAAGATTTACTGCTCAAGTATACAATTTCAAAGTTGTTAAGTTCTTTGACCAAGGTGATTTGATTTTCATTATCGTTCTAAATACTATCGTTAGAGTATATTTGTACACATTATAAACTCTGAGAATGTTGACTAGAACAACAATGGAAATCTAACAACTACTAACCAGTAAATGAATAGCAGAAGCGCTGAATATATATTGGCGAATTGGAACAGCCTGAACAGAAAGGATGATATTTAACTACCAATCACTTGAAAAAATGTTCATTAACAAGTAATAAAACCTAATCTCTATCCAACTAGTTTATTTCACATGCATCGCTATTCTGACAGAAATTAATCTGGGATATTTTAGCAATACAATTATGTTAAGATTAATATCATAAATACATCAATGTTAAACCTGTTGACACTGGATGGGCGTTTCTTCCTAGTATGGTTCTCCTCAGTAGTGCACATCCATGATCTTGTAAGTGAGATTCGAACCCAGGGCATTCAGTATCGTAATCAATGAAATTTCAGTTCATTGGTTTATAATAAACCTCAGAAACGATTTGATTCAATAAGCTCATTACTGGAATGTGGATTTGTTGAGATTGTAACAATTTTAATGATCGAATTCTTGAGCCGATCTAAGCTAGATCACCATTGCAAACTTGGAAAAACAAAGGCCCTGAGTTCGAGTTCCGCGTGAGGGATCGGGGATGCACTCTCTTGAGGAGTTCCATGCTAGAAAGAAATGGTCCTTTTCAATGATGGTTTAACACTGATCCATTCACGATATCAATCTTAACTCAACAATCTCCACAACCATATATTGAGAATACAAATATAATGTTAGAAGTAATGATATTCAAATCTTCATTATCTCAATGAAAAGTATCTTGTTACTCAATTGGATAGTAAAGCTTATTTTGAAATTTTTTTATTTCATACAACAACAAAACTTCATCTTAAGTATGGATATGGCTAATAGTAGGATCGAGGACGCATGTTTCGTCTTCTTTGAGACTCATCAGCTGAATGTATATTTATCCCAGAGTTGATGTTCACTCTGGGATTCGAGTCCCAAATAGTACAAAATGCACGTCCTGGATTCCACTGCTAGTCACCATCCATCTTTACTAATAACAGTTCAGTTGTTCAATTCATCTGTTGGCGGTATTTTGTTCTTCGTGCTATATAATTTAATTGTGGAATATGTTTTTTTACTTATGCCTGTTACTCCTCAAGGAAGAGCATAAGCCGCCCATCAACACTCTCCATCCAACTCTGTCCTGGACAATCCTTTCTGGTTCTTTCCAGTTGTTATTCATTCTTTTCATATCTGCCTTTATTTATTGATTTAATGTGTTCTTTGGTCTTCCTCTTTTCCGCTTCAC